CTATTTTTGTTGACCTTTGTCCATGGAAGGTCCCTGCAAAATTTCATTGAAATTGGTTCAGGGGTTTTGGAGAAGAAGTTGAAAATGTAAATTGAGACTTTGTCTCAGGTGACCTAATAAAACTGCCAGATAAGATGTGTACATGACTTACTTACCTACAATGGTTTTCAAAAGACAGAATAACAGGTTGTTCAGATGTTACAAAAGCTGTCTCGGCTATAGCCTGGATAACATCCTATAACAAATAACAATGATAACATCCTATAATAAATAACAATGATAACAACCTATAGTAAATAACAATGATAACATACTATAACAAATAACAATGATAACATCCTATAATAAATAACAATGATAACATCCTATAATAAATAACAATGATAACAACCTATAGTAAATAACAATGATAACATCCTATAATAAATAACAATGATAACATCCTATAATAAATAACAATGATAACATCCTATAGCAAATAACAATAACATCCTATAATAAATAACAATGATAACATCATATAATAAATAACAATGATAACATCCTATAATAAATAACAATGATAACATCCTATAGCAAATAACAATAATAACATCCTATAATAAATAACAATGATAACATCCTAAAATAAATAACAATGATAACATCCTATAGCAAATAACAATGATAACATCATCTCATAAATAACAATGATAATATCCTATAACAAATAATAATGATGATAACATCATATAACAAATGACAATGATAACATCATATAACAATTAACTATGATAACATCAGACCACATATTACAATTATAGTATTGGATCACAAATTACAACAATATTGGATCACAAACTACAATGATAATATGCTGTAAGAAATTACATTGATATCAGCTACTATACCATCCAGTATGATTTACAATCAGACAGACAGACACTGACCTTGAAGACGATGTCAGTACACATAGCCTTGCCGTGTGTAATAATAGGTTCCTGGTCCTCATTTCTACCATCCCAACAGTCAAGTTCCACACATCTACAACCAATACCGTAGGATGTCTTAAACAATCAGTACAGAATTGTAGCAAACTGATTAGATTGTAACTAGAAAATGTCTGTAAGACTTGAGTGCCCCCTTGCTCATGAAGTCAGCGAACTGATGACAATGAATCTGATGACAAAACAGTAATGGTTGACTTATATAAATAGCAAGTGACCTTGGTGTTGACCTTGGGACACGGATATAATAACTCATCCGACGTTTTCTCATATTTGACATTTCATAAACTTAGACGAAAATTGGTTACGAAATAGAGTCAGTTGAGTTGTGACAATGAATCAAGATACTTCTGGATGTGACTCAATGTGATGCACCATCCCCAACAAACGCAGTAACTTTGAGGACTATTTTTAACTAGATGTATCAATATTTTAAACAATTAGTTCCCTTTTTGTGCAGAAATCCAATCCTGATGAATAGATAGAAAGCAAAAAACAAAGAGTAAGGAAACTTAATTAACCTGCATCCAGCCAATAGCACCTGGCGGTACATCTCGACCGAGGACCTTCCACCAAACTGTCTTCCTGTGAGGTACGTGTTGTGGGAGGAGTTGATGTAGTAATGAGACAGAGGCTGGTCCATGTCCATGTAAAAATCTAGCCGGTCAAGGAATACAGGGGCATTCTCATCCGACATCAGGTAACGACAAAATCCATCCAGGCTGAACCGATCTGAAACCAGACAAAACTGGATGTAACCTGAAACTTTTACTTTAAATGTTATCATTCTGGAATATGCCTGCTTATGAAATGGCAGTCATGGTGCATTAACATATAATACATAAAATGTTCTAACGTACGAAGCTACCTGTGTTATATTTCATCTGTACCTAAAGTAACAGACATCACATTTTACAAGGATTAAACACCTTTTACAAGAACAAGATTTGACAATTCCAACCCCCCTTATCTGAAGAAGAGTGTACTCACATTGTTTTATGTATTCTGGATCCGTTTCAAAATTCTGTATAATAGTCTGAGCTCTCTTTTCATCACAATAAGGGAAGAGGATTTCATTTAGACGTGGGTCTCTTTGGCGCTGAAAATAAATCATTGTGTGTACTTTATGATGTGATTTTTTCTTTTAAAAAGAACTTTGTCTTTTGTGAACAAAAATATACGTCTCCCTTCATAAAAATAATAATTTAAGTTCTTATATACCGCTTTATCACAACCTAGTTTGTAGGTCGTCTTAAAGTGGTCCAAAAATTATTATCCGTGGTTATAGGGCCTTTACAAATAGCCAATATCTTTCTCAACTCCCTGGGGAGCATACTGCCGGTGCTGCCAATTCCGGCGCTCACAGCTAGCATTCAACAATTCCACCTCTGTCCAACCACTTACTTATTTACAGCTGAGTAGACTTGAACAAGCGGAGTAAAGTATCATGTTCAAAGATACAACATAGTGCCATGACACGACTCAAACCCGCAACCCTTCAGTCACGAGCCCGGCATCCTACCACTAGACTACCATGCTTCTGATTAGCAAATAAACATAATTGCTTAGCATTTATTTTTTGGTTTGGTGGTGGATGCAGATATACTTCAAACTTTCATCAAGATACCTTTAACGGTCAAAACACAACAACCTCGGCAAGGACTAGAAGCTGAATAACTAATACTAATACAATATAAATATCTTTCATTTCTGATTAGGTGATTGAAAAATTTAACACGAACATTTTATCTCAAAAAAATTCGAAATTCAAAACTTGCAGTATGGAGATTCAAAGACAAGAAATACAAATATATGTATTTTTAGATAATTCTCAAAGACTGCCATCAAGTGTCTGAAACCTGAACACATAATGAACGTAATATCAAACATGTATTATATATTTCAATCTTGTTGAGACTCTATGTAATGTTTACAAATACAACAAGGCAAATACTGTAACTGCCTAAAGATGGACGAGATGTTTGTCATCAGACATAGATTACATTTTTTATAAAACATGTTCTATGTCATCTTTCTTACATCATTGAAGAATGCGATAAGCTGTGGTACTGTCAGGTAAGTTCTATTGGCATCTCCGCTTCTGAAACAAGAAAATTACATGTTTAACATTTGCTTGTCTAAATTTGTGACTTATTTTTTTTATGAAATACACACTTTTCCATTTTTTTTCTTTTTTTACATTGGTTACTTTAAAAATATATATATATGGCTTGAATGTGTTTTTACTTAATCAAAACTGACAGTTTTAATATGACGTAAATCTAGGTATTACAATTGGCAATCACTAATAGTTTCAACACTCACAGTTCCTTGAATAGGTCTTCGATGTCTGTGCGAGGACAAATCTTATGATATAATTCATAAAATTTGTCAAACGTAAATGCTGATAAGTCTATGTCGTCACACTGTAAAATAAAAACAGCGATTATTAGAATATTGAAAATTAGTTCATAGTGGATAGTGATGATTAATACCAGAAAGTGTATAAGGCTGCTCAGCAGAATCATCTGTATTATATTAAACTATCCAATAACTGATTGATACCTAGTCAACATCTGTAAGGTTTTTATACAGAGCTCAAATTTATAAACAATTGTACAAAGTTGACACCTTACTAGGCATACAAAGTTGACACCTTACTAGGCGACAAATGTGACACCTTACTAGGCGTACAAAGTTGACACCTTACCAGGCATACAAAGTTGACACCTTACTAGGCGTACAAAGTTGACACCTTACTAGGCGTACAAAG